GAATTTAATCCATGAATGTTTTTTTTTTTTTTTTTATTACATTGATATATTTTCTTTTGTGGAATTATCCTTGCTTTCTGTGAATAAATTGATGGATTAGCCCTTTTACTTTAGTTAGGGGTTTTGTATATGTGATCACAAATAGAATTGAAATGTAATTTTATTTTCTGGTTCAGGAAACTCTCATCTGGTTTTGGAATTAAGGTCATACTAGTATCATAAAATAAGTCTTGCCTTCTTTTTTTATTTTCCTGTTTTTGGAACAACTTGTGTAAGTATCTATACAAGAAATGAAATGATTATCATTATAATAATTATCTATATCAAGAAATGATTTGTGCCGGGAGCGGTTTGGCTCAGTGGATAGAGCGTCGGCTTGGGGACTGAAGGGTCCCGGGTTCGATTCCGGTCAAGGGCATGTACCTTGGTTGCGGGCATGTCCCCAGTGGGGGGTGTGCAAGAGGCAGCTGATTGATGACTCTCTTTCATTGATATTTCTGGCTCTCTATCTCTCTCCCTTCCTCTCTGTACAAAATCAATAAAATATATTTAAAAAAAAAAAAGAAATGACTTGTTATATATTGCCTCAGGTAAGGGAAACAAAAGAAAAATAAACAAGTGTGAGTACATCAAGCTACAAAGGTATTGCACAGAAAAAAAAAAAAAACCCACCATCAACAAAATGAAGAGACAATCCACTGAATAAGAGAACATATTTACCTATACATCTTAATATCCAAAAATTATAAGGAATTTATAAAACTCAACACTAAAGATACAGGACTTAAACATCAGACGGGAAACCATAAAAATACTAGAAGCATCCACGGGCAGCAAAATCTCAGACATATGCCAAAAGAACTTCTTCACTGATACTGCCCCTAGGGCAATGGAAGCTAAAGAGAAAATAAACAAATGGGACTACATCAAAATAAAAAGCTTTCTTACAGCAAAAGAAACCATCAACAAAACAACAAGAAAGCCCACAATGTGGGAGAACATATTTGCAAATGTTACCACTGATAAGGGTTTAATCTCCAACATCTACAAACAGCTTATACAACTAAATAAAAGGAAGATGAATGATCCAATTAAAAAATGGGCAATGGACCTAAATAGAATATTTCCAAAAGAAGACAGAAAGAAGGCCAAAAGGCACATGAAAACATGCTCAAAGTCACTAATTATCCGAGAGATGCAAATCCAAACAACAATGCGGTACCATCTCACACCTGTCAGGACGGCCAACATCAACAAATCAACAAATGACAAGTGTTGGTGAGGTTGTGGAGAAAAGGGAACCCTCGTGCATTGCTGGTGGGAATGCAGACTGGTGCAACCACTGTGGAGAACAGTGTGGAGTTTCCTCAAAAAACTGAAAATGGAACTCCCATTTGACCCAGTAATCCCACTCCTAGGAATATATCCCAAGAAACTAGAAACACCAATCAGAAAGGATATATGCACCCCTATGTTCATAGCAGCACAATCTACAATAGCTAGAATTTGGAAACAGCCTAGGTGCCCATCAGCAGATGATTGGATCAAAAAACTTTGGTACATCTACACAATGGAATACTATGCTGCCATAAAAAAGAAGGAATTCTCATCATTTGTAGCAACCTGGATGGAAATGGAGAACATCATGCTGAGTGAAATAAGCCAGTCATTGAAAGAAAAACACCACATGACTTCACTCATTTGTGGATAATAAAGAACATTATAAACTGATGAACCAAAAGATAGATATAAAGATAGTATATCAACAAGCAGACTGTCAAATTACAGCGGGGAGGGGAGGAAGATCTGGGGGAGATAATAGATCAATCGAAGGACTTTTATACATGCACATAAGTACAACCATTGGACATAAAACTCTGGGGAGGGAGGGGATGTGAGGGAGGGAGGGAGGGGGGGCAAAAAAAAAAATCAAAAAAATATATATATATTTTAAAAAAAAAAAAAGACTGAAGAAAGGACCTCTTTTCCACTATTTTGAATGCTTAATAGCTAATTTCATAACATCACATGTACCATTTTAAGAAAGTGATGATTTAGTGGGAAATTAATGCTTTGCATCTGTATACTGTAAATATAAATGACGATTTGTTTGAAATGTGTAACTTGGATATGCAAAAGATAATAACTCACAATGTTAATATTAAATATTCCTTCAAAAAATAAATAAATAAATAAATAAAAAAAAGAAAAAAAAAACTCAACACTAAAAACAAACAAACAAACAAACAAAAAACACCCAACCCAAACAACCTAATTAAGAAATGGGCAAGGGATCTAAATAGACACTTCTCCATACAGATGGCCAATAGAAAAAGATGTTCAATGTCACTAATCATCAGAGAAATGAAAATTAAAACCGCAATGAGATATCACTTCTCATTGTCAGAATGGCAATCATCAATCAATCAACAAACAACAAGTGTTGGCAAGGACGTGGAGAAAAGAGAACCCTTGTGCACTTTTAGTGAGAATGCAGAAGGGTGCAGCCAGTATGGAAAAGAGTATGGCGTTGCCTCAAAAAGTTAAAAATTGAACTGCCTTATGACCCAAGCAATTCCACTTCTAGCAATATATCTTAAGAATTTCAAAACACTAATTCAAAAGAATATATGCACCCCTGTGTTCATAACAGCATTTACAATAACCAAGATATGGAAACAGCCCAAGTGCCCATCAGTAAATGAGTGGGTAAAAAAGCTGTGGTACATTTTTAGTACACAATAAAAAACTGCTCAACCGTGTGGAATGAACCAGAGCAACAGAGGCCAGGCCCTGAGCAGCCAGGCCCAGAACAGCTCGCTCCTTGCCTGCCCCTGCCCCACGGCTGCTTCTCAGACATGGCTGGAAACTTTCGTGGGAACTTGAGGGTCTGCTGAATCAAGTGATGAAGGCTTAGATCTGGATGTGTTGAGTTAGTTTAGGACTGGGGTGTTGATCTGTGAGTGCCTTGGGTGGGGCCTGGATGAGGCTGGTTGACCTAGTGGGAAATGTCTTTTGTGTGAAGTGTATCATTGGGCATGTGGAGGTATTATTGATATGAGAAAATGCTAAGTAACTGATTTACTATCTGAAAAGGGATTTACTATTGGGGAAATTGAGGGAAGAAGAGACTGAACATAAACTGCACCTATGGATGAGGACAATGGGGGATGGGGGGGGGGACGGAGGGTGGGGTGGGAACCTGGTGGAGGGGGGAAGAAATGAGGAACCTTTGTAATAATATGAACAATAAAGATTGATTTAAAAAAAAAACAAAAAAAAACTGCTCAACCGTAAACAAGGAAAATTTACCTTTTGTGACAGCATGGATGGACCTGGAGAATATTATGCTACATGAAATAAGCCAGTCAGAGGAAAACAAGTATCATATGACTTCACTTATATGTGGAATTTAATGAACAAAATAAACTAACAAAGTGGACACAAACAACAGCAATGGTGATGGCCAGGGCATAGGGGAGAGAGGGCAGGTAAAAGAAGGTAAATGGGGATGGAAGGAGACTTGACTTGGGGTGGTAAACACACAATATGATATACAGATAATATATTGTAGAATTGTATAGCTACCTATATCATTTTATTTACCAATGTCACCCAAATAAATTCTATTTTTTAAAATATATTTTATTGATTTTTTTTTTTTTTTTTTTTTTTTTTTTTTTTTTTTTTTTTTTTTTTTTTTTTTACAAAGAGGAAGGGAGAGGGATAGAGAGTTAGAAACATTAATGAGAGAGAAACATCGATTCAGATGCCTCCTGCACACCGTCTACTGGGGATGTGCCCACAACCAAAGTACATGCCCTTGACTGGAATTGAACCTGGGACCCTTCAGTCCTCAGGCCGCTGCTCTATCTACTGAGCCAAACAGGTTAGGGCAATAAATTCTATTTTTAAAAGGCATCTATAAAAAAAAGAAAAATGCTTTGTGTTTTAATATCCCCCTACAGGGATCAGTCAAGACAAATGCAGAAAATCAGTTAGGATGCCATTGCAAATGATGGTGGGCTGAGAAAAATAAGATGTTTAACGTTCAGAAGTTCCTGAAGGATCTCATTTGGAGAGATTTTGTGGCAGAGACTAAGCTGGGTTTGATCAAGTTCATGGTTTATTAGCCATGTCTGCCAAGGACATAGGAGTTCAAGGACAAGTATGCCTGTGTGTGCTGTTCCTGAAATACGGGATAGGGCCTTGAAAAGAGGAACTTAGAGATAATGGGTGCATAGAAATAGGGTTGGGGCTTGATGGATGCAGAGATGAGGGCTTGAGAGGGTGATCTGAGCAGGATGATAGGGGAGGGAATTAGCGAGGGCATAGAAGCAGAGGTGCTAAGGAGGCTGCTACCTGGATTCTGCTTTACATGTAGTGTTCAAAGTAAACTTGAGAGATTTCCTGATAAAACCCAGAGTTTGCTTTCCTTGAAGAATTGGCAGGACCTGCACATGCACTGAATTAGAGCTAGGTGAAGGCTGTGTCCCTACCCAGCGCATGAGGCTCATGTCCCCACAAAGTCCACTGTCTCCCTGGCCCCTGAGGACCTTTGATGTTGACACCTCTGTGACGGGGATAGATGCCTGCATGGCAGGTAAATGTCATCCCTTGTTCCAACACTCTGGACTGAATGGTGAGCACTGGGTTGAGACGGATCCTGAGGCTGAAGGGTAGGGGTTCCAGGACATAGGAATGGTACCTGGGATCAAGGTAACCCCGGCAGGGACAGAGAATTGGCAAGTGTTGCCTGGAGTGAGGGGCAGGGGCAGTCCTAAGCTTCGCTGCCCCTCAGTTATCTAGGTAGATGGTGAGAACTCTGCTTGGCAAACAGTGCTCTTCCTCTCAGTGCTGTTGGGCCACAGCCCTACCATGCAGCTCCTGCTGGCCCTTGGTGCCAACCCAAACCAATAAGTGATGCCCCCATACTCCCAGGGCCATGAGTCTGAGCCCCAGTGCCAGGGACCTCTTTCCCAGAGGCCTCTCACTCCTTGATGACCCTCCTGTCCCCACTGACCTCTCTTGACTTCTCAATTAACCCCTTCTTGTCCTCCAATGATTATTCCCATTCTCCTGGTGCCTCCCATGCTCATAGTGATCCTCTCATCCTTTCAAAGATCCCACTGTGTCCCCAAGCTATCACTCCTGTCCTGATATCAGCCTTCTATGTTCACAGTGACTCTTCGTCCCTCAGTGCTCCCATTCTGCCACTTCTTGTCTGTTTGGTCCCTTTTCTAATCCATTCATGTTGTTCAGCTGCTGCCTCAATTGCAGCACACTTGTGCACACAGATGTCTTCTTGGGCTACAGCCTGGCGGTATGGCCTGTGCTGCAGGTGAGGGGAGACCTGCAGCTACATGAATTCCATTCCTTGGGACGGGGCAGAGAAGTTAGGTGCCAAGCAGAGCCAGCAGGTAGGCAGTGGCCCAAGTGGAGTGGGAGCATCAGGGCAGCTCCTTCACCCTATCTTACCTCATGTGCCCCTCACCCAGGAGCTTGAGATATTACAGCCCTGTCATTCCCACATATTAGCACCAGCGCAGGGCAGTGAGTTGGCATGCACTGCATCACTGGGCCAATTGCAGACTGGCTCTAGACATATCCTGTGTGGCTCCCTGCCCTTGCTGTGGCTGGTGCAGACAGGTAACTGTCCACACTGTGAAGTCATCACTCCAAGATACCCAGATTTATCCTCAGACTGCCCTTTACCCTAGGGTATTAAGGCCAGAGCAAATCAGGAGACCCCCCCTCCCAAATCCAGCTTTGGGTTTCAGTCAGAAGTAGTTGGGGGAGCAGGGAGCACCACTCTCTTCATGCCGCATAGTCCCGAACCTTTCCTCAGCTGAGCAGCCTGTGGCCACTGGGGCTAATAAGTATACCCCTCATGGGCCCCAAAGGGCAGCTGCCAGCCTAGGCAAGCCCTGCCGCACCAGCTCTCACACACAAATCGTCAAGTGAGAAAGAGCTCTTCCTACACCCTGCCTGGCAGTTAAGAAGAGCGCTCCGAAGAGTCCAGATCTCCTGGTCGCTTCACAAGGAAAGCCCTTCCATCTCAGATGTACACTCTGCCCTCCCCATCTCCAGCCTCCTGTGGAGGGGTCATCCAGTCAGAGCGTGGCAACTGAAGCCTCTGGAACCCAGGCTGATGTACTGTTGGCTGACCTTCAGCACTACAGGTATGCCACCCTACCCTTCCCCACAGGCCAACCTAGTCTCCTGCTTGCCTCCTAACTCAAGTGTTTATAAACAAAGACCAGGGAGTATGCCAATGGCCGTGGTTACAGTCTTCACTTCTAGACCAGTACCTGGCATGGAGTCCTCCTACTGGAGTGACCCATCTCCCATTGAAGAGTGGGTACCTAGTTCTGTGTTGTTACAGGCTGCAGAGAGGAGGTGTGTCACAAACGGTATAAAGTGGGTGCTTGCTCTCTGGCAGCCAGGTTGTTTCTCTTCTGTCCAGTGGCTGGTATAGATCAGCAGTCCTTGCTCATGGTGATCTGTGCCCAGGGGCAGCCTCCACCCCATTCAGATTGGGGCCTCTTTGTGAGTGGCCTACTTTTCTCCCACCTAACACCCTGCACCACTGGACCTGCTGCTGATGATGGCACTGATCCCTACAGCAGGCCTGGTGGGGCTGCACTTTCTCTTCAAGCCCATGTGGCTGAGCTCCCTGCACACACAGGGACCAGGCTAGGGGCAGTCTCATACTAAGCCAGGCCTGCTGCCCGGCCACTGCTACTGCAGGCCAGAGGCTGTGTTGTTTCTGCAGGCCCACTGGCATGCCCATGGCAGCCTCAGTTCGCCTATGCAGCTAGTGAAGCCAGGCCTGGCCAAAGTGGGCAGCCTGGAGCATGGGCGCCCATACACCTGTGCTGACTGCAGCTCAGGTGAGTACATGTCTCACCTGCCTGCCCAGTGTCCAGTAGCTTAGCAGGCCCTTCATTCTCCATAGGCCTACCTCTGGGGAGGCCCAGGCCCAAGGCTACACCACCTCCTTAACTACCCAGGGCTGCCACTTGAGCTCATGGGCGGTGATACGCCTGTGGCCACCTCAGACCTCTACAGCTTCTGCACCCAGGCCCAGAAGGCCTTCACTGGTCAGGGAATCAGTTTGGACCCTCCAATCATGCTTCCTCATAAGAGAGGTAAACTGGAAAAGGGCTTGAGGTAAAGGCTAATCTGAAGACATTCTAGAGCCTGGCTTTGGAACCCCTGGGCCAACCTCCTACCAGGCCTTTGTTCAGGCTGGGCTGGACCGAGCCTGCTGACTGGTGGGCAGTTGCAGAATACCTGATACCTGCTGTAGGAGGCCACGGCCCAGGTACAGAACAGGTTGGCAGGGGTGGGTAGTGGCCGGAGAACCTTCCACAGGGCTCATGTTCCCACATCCAGCAGGATTTGGTTCCTGGGGTGAGCTCTCTGATGGATTGGACCACACTGTGCCCTGCACTCCAGGGTTCCACACCAGTTTAGAGAGCAAAGAGGGGTGGTGGCAGGTGCTATGCACAGCTCGGCTGTACCCCCTAATTCCAATCAACTGGTTTGACCCCCAGTGACACTGTACTATGAGCTGGCTCCCAGAGGTAAGACTACGCTCAGGCCTGTGACATCCCGAGGCCCCTCCCCATTCCAGGCAGGAGCCAGGGCAGGGATGTGGAGAATCAAAGGGAGTTGTGGGGCACCTTGCCACCCATTCCAGCTCTCTAATGGCCTTGGAGACTCCTGAGGTCACAGGCCACAGAAGAGTCCAGAGGAGTCCAGCCTAAGACTCTGGCAGCAGCGCCAGTCCCAGCTCTGACCTTTGCCTAGGCCATAGCATCACAACCAGGGTGAGCCTGTACCACTGCCTGGAGCCCAGCTCCAGTATGGATATCCCTAAAGATCTGTGTGACCATTCAATCCCTAACTTGTGACCTATCTCTCCAGTAGTCACGTTTCTTTGACTGCCTCTCCTCTGAGCAGGAACCACTTCCTGAGACTCCCAACTGTCCCCTCACTGGCCTGTGAGCCCTGACCAACCCTGCTCCCCCAGGGCTCTGCCCTGCATCCAAGCCTTCAGAACTCAACTTCCCTGCCAGGCAGCCAGAGCTCTGATGCAGCTCTCAGCCAAAATCCCAGTGCTGTAGGGACTGTGGCAGCACAGAGCTGCCCTGCTGGACCCCAGCCCTAGGAGCCTGCTGACCTACAGAGCCTTCCCATACCCTGGAGGCTGCTGACAGAGGCCACCAGGGCAGGTGAAGCAGAAGACCCTGAGATCATGCCCTGGACCACACTCCTCACCTCCCCTCCCCGCCAAACACCGCCAGGTCTATCCTGAGCCTCATGTCTACTGGTGGCAGCTACTGCCTTTTCCGCTACAGCCAGCCCTGAGCAGAGAGATCCCTTCTTCAGCATGTACAAGTGAGAAATGGGCCCTGGTAGGAGGGCCCAGGGGCCCCTTCCTCATACTTAAGGTAACCCTTAGTCCATCCCTTCCCCACTACTCCCCAAGATGGATCTGCTAGAGATTATAGCAGAGCTGCAAGGTGGATGCTAATTCAGAGACAGGCCCAGCCTGAACCCCACTCCTGACACAGATTCTTAAGATATCCACAGCCCCTCTGCAGTTACCAATCCTTAAGAGTATCTCAAGAGGGACTCCCCACTCAGCACCTGCTGAAGTGATAAAATGATAAAGCAGCCCAGCCAGTTTGGCTCAGTGGTTGAGCGTTGATCCATGAACCAAGAGATTACCAGTTCCATTCCCAGTCAGGGTATATGCCCAGGTTGCAGGTTTGATTCCCAGAAGGGTATGTTCAGGAGGCAGCCAACTGATAATGTTTCTATCTCATTGATGTTTCTATCTCTCTAAAATCAATAAATACATATTTAAACAAAAATGATAAAGCAGTCCAGACTGGTTTGGCTCTGTGGATAGAGCGATGGCCTGCATACTGAAGGGTCCCAGGTTCGATTCCGGTCAAGGACATGTACCTTGGTTGCAGGCACATTCCCAGTAGGGGGTGTACAAAAGGGACCTGATCAATGTTTCTCTCTCATCAGTGTTTCTAACTATCCTTCTCCTCTGTAAAAAATCAGTAAAATATATATTTTTTTAAAATGATAAAGCAACCTATTGCCTCTTTGTTCACTGAGCCTAGTCCCAGCATGACACTAGCAGTCACATTTTCACCATTTTTATTCATTAATTTTGTCAGATGGTTTAGTGGGGCATGTGGGTGACGGGCAGGAGCTGTCCCCCAACCCCTGTGCGAAGGTCAAGACATGCTGGGGCTCCTGGAGGCAGAGGAAGGACAGTGTGTCAGCCTAGCCCTCAGATTTGTGTGAGAGCCCCATGATAGCGGTTGGTGGGGGGTAGGGTGCCTTTAGTCCAGGGTAGGGAAGCCATACAGGTTAGGGATCCACATCAGAAGCAAGTTACAAAATTAGAAACCTGGAATAGGGGTCAGGAGCTCAAGAAAATACAAAACAAGGAATTGGGTTGGGCCAAGATCAGTGAGAAGGAAAGGGAGGAAGGTCTCTGCTCTGATTCAGCAGTAACTTCGGGTCTGGCCCTCAGAGTGAAGGGACCAGCTGGGAGTGGGGTAAGGGGGTGGGGGACCAGCCCCCTCCCTTCCTTGGCCTCCATTCCTGTACAAGGACCCTCGGTAGTGCTTGCCCTGCCCCCGATAGGCTGGTGGAGCTGCCCTGTAGTACAGGAGAGGCTCAGGAGAGCCCCAGGCCCCAGGCACCCTGTGAGGGGTGTGGGGTTCCCAGGGAGCCCTCTCTTTCTGGGGAAGGTGGGGGGCTGTGGAGCCTGAATCTGAATGGCTATGGGGATGAGGAGCAGGAGGGGAAGAGGAGCTGGAAGAGGTGGATGAGGGACCCCTGGGCCCTAGGGCTAGGTTGACATAGAGGGGCTCAGGCCGAGTGGGGCACCGGGCAGGGTGCTGAAGGGCTGAATAGCCCAGGTGGTTATGGGGAAAGCAGGAGGGGGGTGGGGGGTAGCTGAGTAGAAACTCAGGGGACCTATGAAATGGTGGTGATTGGTCAAGCATGCCATATGAGGCATTAAGCCTATCTGGTGGCATGGAGCGAAAGGGACTCCAAGACTGGGTGGTGCCAGAGTAGGGGGACCCCTCACCCGCCTCAATCTCATAGTACAGGTTCTCTCCCCTGTCAAGTGGTGTAGGGGGACCCAAAGGGCTCCTCCAGACTGGGATTGGGGAAGTGGGCTGGAAGGAGGAGGAGGTCAGGGGGTACAAGCCTGGTTTTGGGACCCCAAGAAAAGGTGGCAGGCACTCCTGGGGAGCTGAGAAGCAGCCAGGGGTTCTCACAGAAGAAAGAACCTGTGAGGAGA